GGGCGGGCCAGCAGGCAGGGACATCCCGGCGGGCGGAGACCCGGCCCGGGGTGCTGCCGGCGGCGGCCGCCCGCAGAGGCGGCGGCGGTGACGGGGGGCGCCCTCCCCGCCCCGAGGCCGCGGCGATGGAGGGGGAGCGCTCTGGCGCCGGGGCACCCGCGCTCCTCCCTGCCGGCCGGGAGGGGAGGCGGGGGGGAGGAGGAGGCGGCCCGGCCGACTTCGTGGCTCTCCTCCCTCCGGAGGTCAGCTCTCGGATTTTCAGCGACCTGGACGTTGAGAGCTTGTGCCACGCGGCCGTGACGTGCAAGGGCTGGCACCGCGTCATCGAGAGCAACGACGGCTTGTGGAGGCACCACTGCTTGAGCGTGAGGGCTGTCTGCCAGCGGGAGATCGACTGCGATCGAGGAAATGGATATTCCTGGAAGGTAAATTTAACATCAGTGGCGTGACGTCAGCAGCGTCGAGGCTTCTGGGATTGGTAATAGAAATATGTAAAGAAATTACATCAGCACATCTCCTCTGTCCCAGGCTAATGGGAGAACTGCTGTGATCACAGCGTGGCTCAGCAGTGCGCCCCAACAGCTGGGCATCTGGTTAAATACACAGAGAGATGAAAGCAAGGCTGTCCCGTTTCCTACCCAGGGCCACATCTGGCCGGCCCGGCTCACCCCGTGTAGTCCTCACGCTGCCCCGCACCGCCTCACCACTGACGTTCATCACAGCGAAGTCTGCACAGCCCTAACATGAAAGAATACAACTTACCCCCACAAGGCAGTGCGCACTCTCTGGTTGTATTTCATGGGAATAGTTCTGCTGGCGAGGAATGACTTCCCAGAAATTCATCTTTGGGTTGCTCTGCCTCAATACGCCTTGAGCAACACACATCCAGGAGAAAAAAAAATGGGGTAGAGAAGAGGAAACAAGCAGGAGCTCAGAGGAGCTGTTTTGAAACTCTCCCTACACACACTCCCAGTTACAGCTGCTCTGAGGAGTTAGGAGCTGAACGTGCTGGAAGATCTATCACTGTCGAGTCCAGCCTGCAAGCTGAGGTAGATCAGGAGAGGAGTGGTGTCACAGTTACTACTCTGGACCAGCTAGAGGATGATCCCCACCTCATTTTAGCTGGTGTGTTTGAGAGCAGGGGGGCGGTGGAGGGGTGAAAAGAGAGAAGCAGCAGCAAAAAAAAAAAAAAAACAAACCACCCACAAACCAAACCAAACAGTTCTGGACTCCCACATTTCAGTAGAGTTGTTTCAGTATGAGGCAAAGCCATGAGCAGGTCGTGGTTGCCCTTGAAATGTACAGCTCTTACTACTCTTGCACAGGAATTCCCAGAGCTCCGATTCTCTATTTTATCTGGAGGAGATTTGAAGTAGAAGCAACAAACACACCAAGTCAGCATTTCCTTGCACTAAAAGGTTGGCTGAAGAGAAGAACCCAGCCAGCCTGCATTAAGAGCCCAAACAAGAGTTAAAGGTCACTACCCAAATAGGAAGACAAAGCGAAAGGCACCTCTTTTAAGGAGTATGGAGGAAGATTAATTCCCGGTTTAGGGCTTTCATCTGGACCCTCAAAGAACTGAGGCGAGAAGCAATCCTCCACCCAACTTAGAACAGGAAAGTTGGAAGGAGGCCAAGGTCTGCATCTTGGCAGCAGTGCACCTTCCTGGGCTTAGCATCTAGATATCCAAAGACACATTCTTCAAATGCTTCTTCACATTCAAAAATTCAAATCCTTTTTCTAGCATTACTATTCCAATGCAAAACTTACTTGTATTGAATGCAACTTAATCAGTTCACTTCCAAGAGTTGAGCTGTCTGTTTTTCCATCAGATCACATTACTGAGAAACTACTGGAAAAGCAAAGTGAAGCAAGAATGGCTGAGCGGGAAATACAGCAACATTCCTTCACAAAGCAGCTTGCCAGAGAAAAGCATGTATCCGATGGACGTCGACACATGGGGAGAAATCCTGGAAGCAGAACTTGAGAGATGAGAAACTAGCACTGCTTCTTGCAACTCAAGAACCTTCTATCAACAACTCACAGACTGCGAAACTGTAAATATTCTTCTGTTCAAAATCAGTTGTGTTTGCAAACATATGATGAAAGCTTCCCCCCCCAAAAAAAAGTCTATTTTTTTATTTGCACTTTATCTGATTAATTTTCTGTAAAATTCTAAATAAGACTAAATATTCAGTTGTAATTTTATATTTGTAAATTTAACGTTCTGCTGTATTGTCAAAAAGATGTTGATTGTACTTTCAGTTTGCACTTTTTATTTTGGAAGAGATGACTTTAAAAAAAAAGCGTGTTTGACTTGAAGTGTATCATATCAGCAGCACAGCACGAGAGCCCACAAAGGAAGGCTGCAGAAGGGCCAAATCCAGACATTGGGAAGAAAAGAAGAGGCCAAGGCAGCCACCTCAGGATCAGCTGAACATCCCCAGCGCCCATCTCCAGGGACGGAGCCCTCACAAGGATCTTCTCTGAACCTGCACCCCCAGAGGTGTTAGTGCTCAGGGCAGCACTGCATTCCCACTGCCCGGCTATGGGACTCCTGGATTAGGACTCACAAATGCAGGCAAGGGGCAGGACTGAAGCAGCCACGTAACTAACGGTCTCTCTGCCACTAGCTGTGCATTTTAGTCATTTGCATGATGAGGAGTAGAGCAAAATTTACTACTTCGAACAAAATAACTCAGATTACCATATGAAATAACGGAACTTCATATATTTTTGTAGTCAGGCTAAAACACATTCAGAAATCCAGTTTTTTCCTATATGAGCATCTCCCATCACACAGACCCTGCTGCACCAGCGCCAGTTTTTGGCACTGACTTTAAAAACCGCTGCTAGTAAAAGAGGAGATGCCTGTCACATTACTCAACATAAGAGTGACCACAAAATCAATTTATTACAATTCTGTTTGAATATGTCCTTTAAAAACCCTGGGAAGGTCCCTATTGCTTGAAGTATTCCTACAAAATTCAGTCACCAATCTGGGACCAGTTTTCCATAGGAAGACTTCTACCATGCTTATGAAACTTAGTTAACATGAAGCGATTTCAAATAACTACTGCGGACTTTGGCAGAAAACATTCTGGCAACAGAAGGGCCAAAGTGTCCCGTCATAAACCTGAGGTTCAATGGCGCTAGATCAGGCTCCTGTTAGATACAGGAGTTTACTTAAATGAGGTCCAGCCCTTACCTTTAACGAGGGGGCCCAATAACACTAGATGGAGCAGTAGAGCAATTTTGCTCTGAAAATACAGGCCACAGTCCTCTGGGCTAAGACCCAGTAGCGGTTTTTGTTTGATGGTGCTGGTGATTAAACAAACCATTAGTTTAAACTTCCTTCCGACTTATGCATTTTTATTTTCTCACAGTTATTTAACCATTGCAGAATATCTGGTGAAAATACCTGGTATTTTTTACTCCCTTTTATTGCAACTTTCTGGGCTTACAGGCTGTTTGTTGTAGGTGCCCGTATCTACAGGCCAAGGAAGAAGCACAACAGCCAGGTGAAACTGGTACTTCTAAAGTGCTTCCAAGAACAGTATGTTACCTGATCCCTTTTCTAGTTTGGAGCATTCAATAGATCTCATCAAAACTGATCCACTTCCTCGAGCCTCATACATTTTCCCCAACAGAACAGGTTTTCAGTTCCTAAGCACCTGTACCTTTTCTAAATCACGAGTAGCATATCTAATTGAGACAGCTTTCTCATCAACAACATTGTGTAACATAATGCAATGACTGGATAATGCTTCGTATACATCTTTTGCAATTTATTGCTTATAGGTAAGTGTTAGTCCCAGGATCAGGACCCCATTGCACTAGGTTTTATAAAGATATGCAACATCTCCCTTTACTGCCAAAAGAGTTAACGCTGTTCTTGTGGGATGACTGCTACGTTAGCCAAAACAGATGCAGTACCCAAAATTCACTGAAGCTTCTGCTATCACCCCGCTGGCAAACATGGCTGAAGCATAACTCAGAATAAAGAGCATTGCTAAGTATGGTGGGTGTAGCACAAAGCTCAATGAATTGCAAACACTGCTTCCTTTATTATTAGCTATTCTGCTCTAAGACTGTATCTAGTTAGCTCAAATTAAAAAAAAAACCAAACAAACCACACCCAAGCACAACAGTTTTTCTACTGAAGCTGCTGCCTCACCCCTGCTCACAGTATCTTTTACCCTGAATTTAAGAGAGCTAGAAGTGAAAATAGTGCATATAAATTAATAAAGAAGAAAATAATACTAGCAGTACATTCTCATCACCTCAGGAGTGCCCAATTTACTAATCATAAGACAGGAAAAGTGCACAATAACGGATCTAGTCCCTCACCCTTCTTCTCACCCAGCCTCCTCCTGTTACCTCCAGTCTCTAACTCCCAGACATTTATCCCCTCTTTCTGCTCCTTTCCTGCCCCTCAGCTGTCAGTTCTCATATATTTGTCTCAGGATACAATTTTTAAATAGAATAATTATTCTGGTATAAATCCCGACACAGAGTTGTTTCACTGTGCACTTAGCTGTAGCTTTTCCCCATTCTCGTACGAGCGTAGGAATCACCAGTATCTGTTGTGCCTCTACCTCTGTCCAGATCGGGTGGCTGTGCCTCATTAAACACTCAGCTATGCAATTAGGCAAGGCCTGGATCTTTAAGCCTGGAGTAGCAGTGGTGTAAGTTTCTCATGAAAAATCTATTACTGAAAGAAAAAACCAAGTATTTAAGTACAAATTCTCATGAAAACAAAGCTTGCTTCTCCTCCCCGCTCTGAGCCCCTCCTTTAAGGGTTTTAATTCCCCCTGGAGATTTCATTACAGCAATTCTGGCCTTCTGTTCTGCTCTCCTCTGCCCCTGCACCACCTACTCAGCCTCCCAGCTCCGCTGCAGGCTGGATGTGCTCTCTTCTCTTTAAAAACACCCCAGCAGCATCCATCGCTCCAAACAGTGGCACTTCCTACACCAGCTGATGCGGACTCATCTCTTTCCCCTCCTACCTGCAAGCAAAAACCACCAAAATGCCAGCAACAGAAAGACCGTACTGGTGCCTAAATCAGTGCTAATGTGTAGGTACCCTTCCCCAGACAGCGTCCTCAGCAGCTAAGGCCACACATATAAAACCCACTTACCATCCCAGGACACGCACCAGCTAGCCTCCCACCTAGGTGACTAGTGAAACCATTTTTCCGCTCCAGTGCCCAGCTCTCTTACCCATAAGTTCCTGAGGAAGTGGAAAGTTCTACTTTAGCAAACCCCACTGACCTTCCCACTGCGTTCAAATGCCAGTTCTACACTCCTGCTCGGAAGGTGTCAGCTGCGGAAAGGCACCCGAGGCACCCATCACCCAGGCATCCCTGGCTTTCCTGCCTTTCACCCTCCTGCCCACCCAGCTTTCCTAAGACAGAGCAGACCCTTTGAAAGAGCACGTGAAGCTTGTGCGGTGCACAGCAAATACGATGTCCTCTGCCCACACACCCCAACTATGCAACACAGGCTCAAACCAGCCAGGTTTCTGGGATGAAAAAAAAAAAAAAGTTCCCCTGCTGCACAAAATGTCCCAGGCTGCTGCACACAGCTGGACATCAAGGTGCCCAACACCGAAGCTCAACCTCAGGCCCCCTGAGGTCGGTATTTTATTTCTGCATTTCCAAAACCACCTGTGGTATCAGAACCTTCCTTGTGACTACGTGGTATTGCAGTGCTCCATTTTTGAAGGGAGGAGCTGACAGCGTGGCTTTATTTCATCATGGTGCAGGATGTGGCTTTGAGCCATTACCATTAAGAGTCAGACTAAATGAAAAAGAAAGCACGACATGTTTAATCACCACAGACTTTTCTTCATTAGACCACTCAAATTTCAAAGCTAATTTTGTCAAGAGAAATGTTTCTTCTGATAGGCAGGCCCTAATGTTTTCATGTCTCTATCCTGTTCATCTCCAGAAGGTCCCAAGTGACAGAGTTATCCCAATGGAAGACAGAACAGTCAGGCTCAGGACTGGGATCAGCTGCTTCAGCCTGCGAGAGCTGACAGGTAAAGGCATACAGATGGGAGGATCTGGGGTGGGGGTCGTGGTATTTTCTCTCCAAACGAACTTGGGTAGAGGCATATCAGATTCCCAAGAGCATCCTGACACTTTGCGGTTGTTTTTCAGCATATTGTTGTTCAGAAAAGTCTGTCCCCAAAACCATGGAAGAAATCACCTGCTGCATTTAACACTGAGTCAGTGGCAGCTTCTGATCAGCACAACAGCGCTAAGAATTGGGGGTTGGTGGTGTGATTTGTTTTTTTTTTTTCAGGCCTCAGTGCTAAGGGCTAGACCTACTTCAACTATTCTGGTAAACCAAAAAAGCCCAAGCTACAACTGTGGGTAGAAGGGGGGAGAAGGAGAGAGGTGATGGACAACAAACTCGGAGGTCCTCGGGGACCTACCAAGATGATCCCCAAGAGGCCAATTCTATGTACCAGGAGAGGTGCCTGCAGCCACCTCTAACTCCTCAGAATTGTCATGTCCAACACCACCACCCACGTCCAGTAACTGTGGATTTTCAAAGCTGGGGGGGGGCGGGGGCGGGGGCGGGAATAAAAAGCAGCCTGGTAGAGCATGCAAATCAGGTACAACACTAGCTTTTTTTGATTCACGTTTAAAAATATTATTAGAATGGCACATGCTGGTTTTAATGCATGGTCCTTAAAAATCTTAACAGGCAAAGGAGCTGCTGCTTGCCAATATGGGAGTGTTGACTGCACAGGCTGGTTTTTTTGCCAAGATGCCAGACACTTCAAGCTCTACACAAAGATTTCTCCAGATGTCGCAGGACACCAATAGCCATGAGATAATGTATTAGCTATAAAACTAAATATTGCTTTTAAACATCTCCGTGATCTCAGAACACAAGATGTTACCAGCTACCTATTGGAGGAATCAACTTGAAGGCTGAATTGAAGGCGTAGGTTGAGCAAGTTGGGAACAGAGGGAAAACT